CATCATAATAGCATTACTCTAACCATACTATGGTGTGTACGATCTGGAGTTGCTCTTCTTGGAAAAGTTTACAAAACTAGCACAACCTAGAAAATAATGGAAACGAACTTGGCATAGGTACGACAAGGTGAGTATGGAAAGTATCACCTGCACTCCACTTGTTAGAATGCATGCTTAGATGATTGTTTGAGTTCTTGTTGCATAATTGCCCTCGAACTACATTGATCTGATTCCTTGCATCAAGGATATGTAGGCAACCTACGGGTTCGATCACTTGCATGAATGTACGACACTGCCAGGGGTCATGTCAACTGGGATGGTCTTGGATCTTTGACATTCGCTTCTTATCACTTCATAATTGTTTGAGCTCTGTCAAAGAGAGACAACTATAGGCACCCCATTTCGAAGTTGTTGTGTAAACTCGTTTTGACCAAAAATTGACTTTTTGCTAAAATGATCATTTTACCCCTAAACACTATTTTAGCCAAAAAATCAACTTGTTAATCCTGAGAAAGAGAGATAAACCCAATTGTGCTTTGGTTAAACATATTTTCCAAAACTAGTGACTAAAACATTGATAAGAAGACAATTCGAACTTACTTGGGCCACAAGTAAGCCAAGAACATGGAATGCATGCAGGGATGACATATGTACCATGGCAAAGGACGCGTGCGTATGTGCCTCATGCGTGCGCACAAGAATGGTGTGTGTGCACATCCAAGCACTGCAAAGCTAGGTATGAAAACTTAATCTTGGTGCATTTTTGGTGGGAGGCAGAGGGAGAAAGTAATGGAACCCTAGAAAGGGTTCTAGAACCCTCTCCATTGCCCATAAATAAAGCTCTTCCTTCTCCCTTTCAAGGGGTCAAGAAATCTTGAGCTTTTAGAGAGTTTTAAGAGCCAAATACTCTCCTCATCCCCCTTAGCATTAGCCATAAAGTTCCTCCACTCATAGCAACTCTAAACTTTTGAAAATCATCCTAAGGTGTAAAGAACCTGAACTACTTCAGAAACCTAAAATTGAGAGAGGCTTGCAAGCAAGAAACTTGACTTTTCGTGCTATTTCTTAGTGTGTTCTTTGATTCAATCAAACCAGTAGGTAAAACTCCTTTACTTTCTTATATTTTAGTACTTTCTTGTTTTATTTTTCAATGTTTATCCATGCTAGGTTGTAGTTCATCATTCCATCATGTAGTTCCCTCATTTCATTAACTTTATTGCTTCTTTCTATGCATGTTTCTTTTATGACATTAGAACAACATGTTTTTGGTCTTATTTAGCCATATAATAATCATGCATGGTCTGATTTTATTATCATGTAGGTGTCATTAATTATTTTTTTTTTATGAAAAAAATATTATTTTACAAGGAACATGGATTTATTCTTTAAACTAAAATAGACGATATTTATTTTCTTCAAATCACATAGTCTAGGTTAGTTGAAGGTTTTAGGTCTAAAAATGAATTTATGTGAATAATTAACCACTAAAATTATAAAATATAAAGTAAGTACAAGCCAATCTTCGGATTGGGCAAAATGGGATGTTTCCATATAAATGGCCTTCTCCTTTTATACCTAAGCTCCCGAACCCGAAATTTTCTTGGTTATGATGGACTAGGCCTTAACTTAGTTTTCATAGTTAAAGATTTCTTAATTCCCCTTTGAAAATTAAGTGGTGACTCTTTGTTGGTCAAAGCAAGTCGGTGTGGAAAGCAATGTCTGAGACTTGAAAAAGGTACAGTGCCCACAAGTATGAATTGGGATTTGAATTGATGGTATTTAAATGATATAAGTTAGGTAACATATGAATGTTGATAAAATCTAAACCAAGATGATGGAATTGAATTTATGGAATTGGCCCGTGTCATATATATTGATGATGGAAATAGTGAAATTAAGTATGGAAATTGTGTATGTATTGTTTAGAGGTTTTGTCTTTAGCCATCGGTGGAGGATGGTATTGATTGTTGTTAAATAGAGTACATGTGTATGTGTTATTTAGAAGGATGTCTTATGTGTTGAGGGTTTATTTCCTTTTGGTTGAGATCTGGTAAAGCGTGGCGCCTGGACATAGGTTTTGTTCCTTTCTAACTTGCGCTCGATAAAGCATGTTGAGGTTCAATTCCCTTCTAGCTTGAGGTCCAGTAAAGCGTGACGCTTTGAGATAGGTTCCTCTCCCTTTTGGTTTGTGCTCTGCAAAACGTGTTGTGATAGTTAGGGCTTGACAAGGTCAGGTTGTCGTATGTGATAGCATTGATTAGTTATTTTTCGCATATGTGTTATGATATGAGCGGTACACCATTTGCCGTCCATGCCTTGGACCGGTCAAACATGAGAGTATGTGTTGTTTTTTGGATCTATCTATCTATCTATCTATCTATCTATATCGGGGTGGGTGTTCCATTTGCCCTTGTGCTTTAGGTCATAAAACATGGTAGATATCATTGAAAATATAGTTAAGGATGTGTTGAGCTATGGACTAGGTTAGAATCCCTTTGACTTGAAAATGATGGTTTGCGAAGATAAGAAATGAAAGAGCTTTCTTGAATTGACGAAGAAGGATTCTCGAAAAAAGATATTCTATTGTATGAATACTTTGAATATGAAAAGTCGCATTATTTATATCCTATAATGTGGAGCATTCATAATCATAGTTATCTATATGTTGTTATTCTTTAGGATCATTTAGGATCTGTACTGACCTTTGTGTTCATCTCACATTGTTGATAAATTTTCAAATACACAGCTAGTGGAAATTATTCTGGACTTGAAGTCATTCTTATCTATAGGTCTCGGGCTCATTACATGTTCGGTGGAGTGTCGATGTTTTATTTATAGTGGCGGTTTCAAGAATTTTTGTTAGGTTAAATATTTTGTTTGTCAATCAATAGGAGTTAAATACAAATAATATGAAAAATAAATAAATCCAACACATTTGCACCTAAATGAGTCTTCTTGGAAGAAAGTTAGAAGAGATTTTCACACACTTAAAGAATTTTAGAGAGGGAAACAATTATAGAGAGAAGCTCTTGAAGAATGCTTGTTTTGTATTCACTTGGGTGCTTTGGGCAAATGATGCCCTCCCCTTTATATAGGATACAAGGAACATTTTAGAGTTACAAAGATGGAGAGGATTCTAGATCCTTCTCTCATCTTCTCAAAGAGCCTATTCTAAAACATACAAGAATAATTTACAAACTTCTAGAATTAGGTACAATGTTCTATCAATCTCTTGATTGTTCAAGAGGATTCTAGATTATTCCATTTTAGCATCAAATTTTATAGCCATTCTCTAGGGCTTTTTACAAGACGTGACATCAAGCATACAAGCAAACTGAACAAATATAAGAAAGAAATCAAACAAATACAATGGACACATAGGTGGACACAATGAGGTGCCTGAACTCTTCTTGGTCAAGGGCTAATTTCGTAAACATTCAAGAAAAAAAAAGGTGAGATTTGGAATCAGTAAAAGCATTTGTTTTATTTTTTTGAAATAGGGTGGCTAGACATAAAAAGATGGGTTAATTACACTAATAGCCCCTATAATTTGAGACTTGTGTCACTTTGGTCCCTGACTTTCAATTGTGACACATTTGACTTTGAATTTTGAATCTTGTTCCAAATAAGGACAATTGAAAATATTATTAGATTTTTCAAGGGTAAAATCGTCAATTTGATAAAATATAAACTAATTTGACAAAAATAATTGTTAAAAAAATATTTTTAATTTTTTTAAAATTATTTTTATCCACCAATGATAAAATTATGTAAAATTAATAAAAATTACATGATTAATTTTTTAAAATTAATTTTACATGAAAAAAAAAAATTGGTACCTAGAGTGTTAAAAAAAGTTGTTAATATGACAAATGGGATCCAAAACATATACCTATTAATGGATATTATATTTTTTTTCAGGGTAAATCTGATCATGGTTAATCATGATTAAGGGCTATTTTATAAAGACAGTTATAATCAATTTTTTAGTAAAAAGTTGCTTATAAGTAGTTTTTTTGTGAGAGAGGAAGTGAATTATAATCTGAGAAGTGAATTATAACCCACTTCTCAAAATAAGCCTAAATTCAAAATATAGATCTTATTTTATTTTATTTTTTTATAAAAACAAATAAGATGACTTGAGACCAATAATGTATAACTCAAAAAATTATTTTTTAGTTTTGAAATAATTTTCCACTCTACTCATAGTTGGAAAAGGATCCTCTAGAGTGATTTTTTCCTAAAGTTTTCTAGAGTGCTACATTGTGTGGTTGAGATTTATTGACAAGTCACATCAATTTTTCTGATGTGACTTACCAGTTGTAAGAGGGGCTAATTTGAGCCCACTAAATTATTTAGTTAATATGACAAATGGGATCCAAAACATATACCTATTAATGGATATTATAATTTTTTTTCAGGGTAAATCTGATCATGGTTAATCATGGTTAAGGGCTATTTTGGGAAGATGATTATAATCAGTTTTTTAATAAAAAGTTGCTTATAAGCAGTTTTTTTGTAAGAGAGGAAGTAAATTATAATCTGAGAAGTGAATTATAACCCATTTCTCAAAATAGGCCTAAATTCAAAATATAAATCTTATTTTATTTTATTTTTTTATAAAAAACAAATAAGATGACTTGAGACCAATAATGTATAACTGAAAAAATTATTTTTTAGTTTTGAAATAATTTTCCACTCTACTCGTAGTTTGCCACCTCATACCTTATATGGGAAAATCCAACACTCTCTCAACCAATCACACAATTTGAAACACCACGTGGCAATGCTACATGATCACCTAATAATTTCTCATATAACCGTGACCAGCACTGAAAGTACAAACAGAGAGCTTTTTATATATGGGTGGCGTTGCTGGTCTCGACTGTGAATTTGGATTCCATCACAAAACTTCTTGATTTCTTGAAATTAACATTTCCAAGAATTCCTTATAGAACCCAAGTCCACCTCTCTCTCTCTCTCTCTCTCACATTCTCAAAATGTCACAAGATAGCCCACGATCTCCTTTTGAAGTTCCTCATGAAGAAGAAGACCAATCTGAAGAACTAGATACTGATACTGATAATCAACAACAATTTGAAGAAGAAGAAGCAGACGGGTCGGAGTCCGATTCTGAAGACTGTAGCATCCATACCTCCTCCCCTGATCCTGATATTCATCAGGAAAATCGTTCACGCAATGTCTTCGTCTTCAAGCCAAGGTGTCTGAAAATGAAGGACATCAATTCTCCTCCAGATTTGCCAGCAAAAATACCATTCAAGAACTCTGTTGAAGAAGATAATTCTCAGAGTAGGGCTCAAAATGGCGATCATGATGAAGAGAAGCCAAGAAATGATCTGAACAATGATGAAATCACAATCTTGAAGAGCATTCTTGATTACTACTCCAAGAATGGGGCATACCCACTTCACAATTCCCCAGCCTTGCATGATTTCCTCAAAAACTCACTTCAGATTGATGTCCGTCCATGGGATTTGAATGATGAAATCTCCATATTGAGGGAAAAATACATCAACATTCGGGAGAAAGAGAGTGACATGAATGCTGATGATGATCATCTGAACGAGTTCAATGAAGATAAGAAGAAAAAGGGTTTGAGAGTTGAAGAAGAGCCAGACTTGTCTGAGTTTCCTTTCCTGAAAGAATCATTACATTTTGGTAAGAATTTGACTGCTCTGAGATTGGTTGGAAACTCAAAGCTGAAAGAGTTGGATGAGAAATGGAGGAAGTTGCAGGTGGAGGAACTCGAGTTCTTCTTGAAGCGATTGGATTTGATTCACGAACAAACAAAGCTCATACTCGATGCAATTTAAGTCTTCGTCTCCGTGTTAGTGTCATAGTAAGGTACTGATTGATTGAACAATGTCCATTTTTTTTTCCTACAATTTTCAGTAAAAAGCACAAAGAATTTTGGTTTCGTCGCGACTTTGAATTGTTAAACAGACAATCCTCTCAGCAAGTTTTGCAGTCAATCAAATTCTATGTTTCTGTTTGAAATGCTTTGTGCTCCATTTTGGGATCAAGGTCTGGATTTTCTTGCTGACATTCTTGATATGATAGATTCATGGGATAGCTCTCTCTTTAACAAAAAAACAAAATTGAAATTCATTTTTGGTGTTTGTTCATGTTATATTTTTTCAACATTGAAATTTTTGGTGTTTGAATTATTTTTTACTAATATTGCTTTCACCAAAATTTTATGAAAACAACCTCTTTTAAAGAAAATGAAAAAAAATTGTTTTTGCGTAACAATAAAAAATAATTGTGAAAATAATGAATATTTTTCAAAAGTTTCATTAAATGTTTTTTGTTTTTTGAAGAATAGGAAAACAATAACACAATTAGTATGTTAGTTAGCTCATGTTATTTGTTTTCCCTTATATTTTCTTTTCTCTGACTGTTAAGACAATCCTCTCCAAGGGAGATAACAAATTTAAGTTTTGAAATTAACACATTTGATAATAAATTTTATTAAGGTTGGGTTTTGGCATAACACAAAAAAGTCACAAAGTCACTGTCACATCATCTTATTTAAATTACATCACCTCTCTATCACATCACTTCAAACCCAATTCATATTTTATAAAAAGTTAAAAAGTACACTTATTTAGATCATTCTAAACAACCCCTAAATAGATGTAGCAAATTTTATTAAAAGGAGATAACAAATTTTATTCAAAGGACATAGCAAATTTGATAATACCACATTTGATTTGCTACATCCAAAGGATAAAACAAATTTGTCCTTCACAGGTCAAATTAATATTTATTTTTTATTTTTTATTTTTTATTTTTAGTGAATTTTTTTTCATATTTTAATTAATTTTTATTTTTTAAGTCTTAGATGTACTTAAGATACACACTAAAAGTAATAAAAAAAAAAACCGAATATAATAAAATACAAAATGTACTAAATTTTAATTATTTTTTTGTTTTTTAAATGTATCTAGATTAGAATTTAAAATTAAAAAATTGAAGAGGGTTAATCAAAAGAGTGATTTGAACCTAAAAAATATAAAGGGCATTTACACACAAGTCGTAATTTTTGAATTATACTTTATTAAATTCTAACAAAAATTTTTTGGACCTTCAAATCTCATTAATTTTTTAATAGTCAGAATTGCCCTTCAAATAATGATTGTTTATCATTTATGACTATCTATAAAGGAATATGATAATTTGACATTTATTTTGATTTTCAAAACTTTAAAATATCAACTTGCAAATTGAAAAAACTAAAAAAATTTATGTGTAAAAAAAAATTATTCAATTTCAGTTTTCTGAATTCAATTTTTTGAAAATTGAGTATATTGTTTTTTGTATTTTTTTATTTTTAGTGAATATTTTTAAAATTTTAAGCAATTTTTATACTTAAATGTATCTAAATAGTAAAAATATTTATGAAAACATATTTTAAAAAATTAATAAATACATAAAAATACGAAAAATATACTGAATTCTCATATATTCTTAATATAAGCCTAAAGGCACTGTAACTGATTGTAATATTATTTCATTATTAATTCATACAAGAGATAATGTTATTGTTTAATTATTATTTTGTTGCTTCCGCATGTATGTATAAGAAAATGGGCTTTGGGCCTCGTTTGGAGACTAAACATTTTAAGCAAAAAGTTAAAAAGTCATTATAAGTTGTCACATCACTCACTCTATTTTTCTACACATCTTTTCATAAAAAGTCAAAAAGATATTAAAATAACTTGTTCCCAACGAGGCCTTAATTAGGTATTTGTTAATGTTATTCGAGTGATAAAACTCAAGGCGTGAAACATACAATTCAAATTTTCACTTTAAAAGTATTTTCCCAAATAATTAAAAGAAATTCCTTTTGAGCAAGGTATCCCCTTGAATTGACATATTCCCTTATTCAAGTTATCTCAATGTTGTTGTATAAATTGTCATCATGCATACTGCTTAATAATTTTAAAATTAAAAATCAAGGAGATGATGAGTAGAGGTCATCCTTGTGTCAGGCGAGATGTGTGTAAGTCTTCCCATGTAATACCTAAGCTCCGAAATCAAGTTCTTTGATTACAACAGACTAGTTTTTTAAGGGTTGAAGTCAATATGGGTTCTTGGATCCTAAAACTAAGTGGCGTCTCTGGTTGTGTAACATTTGATTTTTGGTCACTTAATCTATAAGGGAAACGATAAAAGATCCATGCAAGTCATATAGGGCATCGATAAAAGATTATTTGACTATTAATCATTGATTTACTCATTCGATTTGTTGGTTAATGAAATATGAAAGTTAGAAGCCGATTACACTTACTCAAAGCCGATTGCGTTTATAGTACTCAAATGGACATTCGTAGTGTTTGATTAAATTATTATTCATTGTAACCAAACATATTGTTTTTCTCTTTTATTTTTAAAGAGTATAGTACATTAATTTAAAATAATTTAACGTTCAACTCAATATATATTTTTTGTTTAGATTTAAGTGATCCGTGCCTTTTGAGATAAATTTGGGCTAACGCATTGGCCATCAATATCATGCAAGTAAAAATGTAGGGGAACTTACCAATAAGTCTCATATATAAAGTTTAAGGCGCATCTAATCCTCAAACAAAATACTTGCACCAATTAGTCCTATACATTTTTAATTGTTACCAAAAAATCCTTTTTTTTTTTTTAAATTTACAACTGTTATATCTTACTACAGTCGGACTTCCATCAAACGGTCACCGGAGATTCGTTAGAATGTTCAACATCACCGGAAAGTCGCCGGAAGTTCACCGGAGTGTTAAGAACTTTAATGGAAGTCGCCGGAATGTTCAGAACGTTCACTGGATGTTAAGAACATCACTGGAGACTCACTAGAATGTCTAGAATATTGCCGAAAAAAAAAAAAGAATAAATGAAGAAATTAGAGCAAAAAAAACATAGCAAAATGTGTTAAATATTGATAAACTAAAAGAAAAAAAATGAAACGACAAAAAACAGCAACAATGGGAAAAACATATGTTATTTTTCAATTTTTGTAACGTTTAAGCAAATAATCTCCAATATTGATCAAACTGAAAAGTAAATTTTGAAATTGTAAAATGTTACAGTTTCAAAGCAAAAATCTATTAAGCATTTATCCTTATTAATCAAACTGAAAAACATGTTATGAAACTGTAAAATTTTACAGTCCTAAAGAATGTTATGAAACTGTAAAATTTTACAGTTTTATACCATGATTCATTCCAGCACCAAAAAAATTTGAAAATGCAAAATTTTACAGTTTTAAACCATGATTCATTCCAGCACCAAAAAAATTTAAAACTACAAAATTTTACAGTTTTCACCGCCTGTAACTAAAACTTGAAAACTACTTGTTCAGAACTTGAAAATTTTCTCCATTAAATCAGAAAAAGAGAATCGTATAACAGAGAAAATGTAGAAAAAAAATAAGAGATCGAAGGAGATAGGCGGATATAGAGAGAGAATTGTACTCCGGTAACTATTTTTTGTTTAGATCTAACCAAATCTAATGTAGATCTACTCAGATCTGATGTAGATCTACATCAGATCTAAGTAGATCTACTCATCTTCTTCGTCGGAAATATATCTTCTTCGCCGTCGGTGAGGGTGAAGTCACGAGTCGATTTCGATGGTTGGTGGTTACCGGTGAATCCCGATCAATGGAGAAAGACATGATCACCGGTCGTCGTCCATGATAAAGAAGATGAGAGAAAAATGCAGAAAAAGAGAGAGAGAGGAAAACGTAAAGAGTGAGGCAAAAAGTAGAGAGAGAGAGAGAGAGGGGAAAGTAGGACTTTTGGGTCTACTCAAAAAGTTATTGGATTAAATGGTGTCCACATATGTCAAATAGGACCTGTGGCTAATTTCTCCAAAAATGTATAGGGCATTTTATGAGTTAGTTTTATGGGTCGGTCTTATTAATTGAACTAATTTTTTTTATCAGTTTTATTTATTTTTTAATCCATCATTATTACCAAAATTCCCCCCTTACCTCTACCGCTAGTGGCCACCTCCGATCTCTTGTGACTACATTCAACGATCGTCTCTAAGTGCCGATGATTTTCTATAACTTTCGACGATAGTTTCCGATGACATTTCTTCAGTCATTTTTCAATAAAAACTTCAATCTCTACTATGTCATTACTACATCCACCTCCACCACTCAGTCAATCAGTCATTCATTCTCACACACTCATTCACTCACTCATAGTCATTTACTTATATATTTATGTTATCCTGTTAACCAATCTTAGTGTGTGTAATTGTGAAGTAGAAAAATAAATTACAGCAAACAGGTGTGATATCTGCAATTCCAGAAAATAATTAATTTAATTAAATTCTGGAAATAAGAAAAGAAAGCAGTAACCTAGCAGTTCTTGTTACATAAACAAAGATGAAGGAGATCAAGTAGAGAGTTATGTACTCTTTTCTTAAGACATATTTTGTCTCTCCTAGGATGAAATAGAATGTTTGGACGTTTTTCTCTTAGGATGAAATAGCCGCGCAGTTTTAATCGCAGCACGACGAAGAGACTAACACAAATCAGAACAATTCTAGTACTCTCTCTTAGAAAAGAAACATTGAAACAGGATGCAGAATGTACGCGATGAGAGATGGAGAAATTGGTAGTTGAAAATTGGATGAATTTCAGACTGGGAAGACTGCCTTTATATAGGCGCAGTGGTGCCTATTCGAATTTACCAAACAGTGGGAAAGAAGAGACATGGTCGGAAAGACGCTACCATTGACGTCAAAGCAGTACTAGAGAAGTGACACAAATTTTTTTGTTTGGATTTGAAAATTTCCACGAAAAATTTTAGAG